CCCCGGGATACCATAATACCCCGGCTCTCGCACAATGTCCGTGATGCAGTCATTTTTAGTCTGTTGATGGTCGGCGATGCGGCAATGGACTTATCTCGACAAGCTGAACACGATGCACTATTCGCTGTTGAATTTTTCGATAACATATTTTTATGCTGTATGTCATTTCAATATCGCGGAGTGGCACTGATTTCGGATTGGTACTCCAGTCGCAGAGTTAAGTACAACCCCTGGCAAAAAAATAAAATATTTAATTGCCTCGGCCATTTTGTATTATTTGGCACCCCGGGGTACCGCCATAAGGTTCAAATGTCCACATGATGACGACGATGATGAAAAACCCCACTTCGTTGAGCTATCATTCGTGATGGCCAATGTCGCTTCTGAAAAAAAAGCGACATAGCAGCTCAGTGGGGCCTTGCACTTGGTACAATAAAAAATATAAATAAGTTTTAATTAGTTCGTGGAAAGCAGGCGTCAGAGAGTTATGGAGGAGACGCTGTCACCGACTCCCGATCGGTCTCACCAGCATCCTCACGTTTCACCACCACCGCCACGTCCGGACAGGCCGCGTGGCTCGCGTTGTCCTCATTCTCTTGTTTGATGGACGTCATCTCAATCCGAGAAGCCATCGTGCTGGGGAGAAAAACAAAAAAACAAGGACTATGCAGACACCCAAGTGGATGCCTAACACATAACGCCAAGGTCAAATATCCCCGTGCGTATCCTAAATAGCTTGTTGGGGACCGTCCATAAATGACGTCATGCACCTGGGGGGGGGGAGTCAGACATTTGTGACGATGTGTGACGAGGGGGGGGGGGGGGTTTGAGAAATATGACGTCACATCAAAATGCGCAACTTTAAATAAATATAGACAACACGTTCTACTTAATTAAATAGAATTTTTAATAAATGTTTTCTCCTACAACATTAGAGGGCAACGGCACATTAAATACGCACTACAATGACAATAGTTTAAAGCGATTTGAAGCATGATTGATATATTTTTATGGAGGGGGGCAGAGCTTTGTGACGTCATATTTGAGGGGGGGGGTCTGACTTTTTGTGACGCCGTGTGACTAGAGAGGGGAGGGGGAGCCAAAAATCGTCCAAAATCGCGTGACGTCATTTATGGACGGCCCCTAACGGCGATAGAGGGTATTTGCTGGGCATTTATAGCAGCCGACAAATACTCGAAACGTGCGATGTCGATTTGAAATTTGGAGGGGAAAAACCTGAGGCCTAAAACAAAATCCACGTGATCACGGAAATAACATGCCAACTCAAAACATACAACAGGGGTCAGGGTCGGGATCGAACCCACGACCTCCTGTATACCAGACGAGGTAGTTAACATTTCCTAGCCACCGTGATGATGATGAGACGCAGACTGCAAATAGACAGCAGTAGGCAGTGTCAAAATCGCGTGACGTCATTTATGGACGGCCCCTTGGGGCAAATCGTTGTTTGCGAGCTCCTATTATTAGCCTATTAAAGCCGGCGTGGATAGTACCGAACCTGGCTAACTTTCATCGACTTAGCATCTGTGGGGGGAAAAAAAAGCGCTTTATAGCTCATCAGATTCCTCCACTATAAATACAGGATTCTGATTCCGATCTCAGAACAAGCTATTTAGCAGATAATTAAGAGGCAATGTGAATGTGGATTCACCTCTTGTGTAACAGCAGTGAGCACGGTGCAAGAGAGTGAATGGTGGTGTGAGTGTGAATTCACTTCTCGTGGCAACAGAACAGGGTGCAAGAGAGACAGAGAGACAGGTAATGGTGGTGTGAGTGTGAATTCACTTCTCGTGGCAACAGAACAGGGTGCAAGAGAGACAGAGAGAGAGTTAATGGTGGTGTGAGTGTGAATTCACTTCTCGTGGCAACAGAACAGGGTGCAAGAGAGACAGAGAGACAGGTAATGGTGGTGTTGAGTGTGAATTCACCTCTCGTGCCAACAGAACAGGGTGCAAGAGAGACAGAGAGAGAGTTAATGGTGGTGTAAGTGTGTGAATTCACTTCTCGTGATAGCAGTAGACACGGTGCAAGAGACACAGAGAGAGTGAATGGTGGTGTGAGTGTGAATTCGCCTCTCGTGGCAACAGAACAGGGTGCAAGAGAGACAGAGAGAGAGTTAATGGCGGTGTGAGTGTGTGAATTCACTTCTCGTGATAGCAGTGGACACGGTGCAAGAGACGCAGAGAGAGAGTGAATGGCGGTGTGAGTGTGAATTCGCCTCTCGTGATAGCAGTGGACACGGTGCAAGAGACACAGAGAGAGAGTGAATGGCGGTGTGAGTGTGAATTCGCCTCTCGTGGCAACAGAACAGGGTGCAAGAGAGACAGAGAGAGAGTTAATGGTGGTGTGAGTGTGAATTCACTTCTCGTGGCAACAGAACAGGGTGCAAGAGAGACAGAGAGACAGGTAATGGTGGTGTGAGTGTGAATTCACTTCTCGTGGCAACAGAACAGGGTGCAAGAGAGACAGAGAGAGAGAGTGAATGGCGGTGTGAGTGTGTGAATTCACTTCTCGTGATAGCAGTGGACACGGTGCAAGAGACACAGAGAGAGAGTGAATGGTGGTGTGAGTGTGAATTCACCTCTCGTCTTGAGTGAATTTCACCACCAACCTGCGGGTCTTTCCAAATCAGCAGCAGCAGCGGCGGTGACCACGCAGCAAAGCGACGAGTTGCGGAACAAGACGCGGAAGTGACGGCGGCTGCCAATCTCTTGAATCCCATCGAGAGAGACAAGATGCAGCCACAACACCCAGCAAGTTGTGTGTTCCTAGTCCAGGTTTTAGCGAATCTCAAGGGGCCGTCCATAAATGACGTCACGTTATTTTGGAGGATTTTTGACCCCCCCCCCTCTTTCGTCACACGACGTCACAAAAAGTCAGACACCCCCCCACCCCTCAAATATGACGTCACAAAGCTCTGCCCTACCCCCCCCCCCCCCAAAATAAATAAAACATGCTTCAAATCGCTTTAAACTATTGTCATTGTAGTGCGCATTTAATGTGGCGCTGCACTCTGATGTTGTAGGAGAAAACGTTTATTTAAAAGTCTATTTAATTAAGTAGAACGTGTTGTCTATATTTGTTTAAAGTTGCGCATTTTGATGTGACGTCACATTTCTCACCCCCCCCCCCCTCGTCACACATCGTCACAAATGTCTGCCCCCCCCCCCCAAAAAAAATGCAATTAGGGGCCGTCCATAAATGACGTTACGCACCTAGGGGGGGGGGGGGGGGCAGAGCTTTGTGACGTAATATTTGAGGGGTGGGGGGTCTGACTTTTTGTGACGCCGTGTGACGATGGGGGGGGGGGGTCAAAAATCGTCCAAAATCGCATGACGTCATTTATTTTAAACTGTGAAACTAAAGTATATTTTTTAGTTTTATGAAGTAAGCCCCCCCCCCCCCCCTTAGCTATGAAGCTCTTTTTCAGGAGTCACCTATCACAAATAATAGCTCAACGAAGTGGCCAATGTATCATTGTGTGGGCATTTATAGCAGCCGACAAATACTCGAAACGTGCGATGCCGATTTGAAATTTGGAGGGGAAAAACCGGAGGCCTAAAACAAAATCCACGTGATCACGGAAATAACATGCCAACTCAAAACATACAACAGGGGTCAGGGTCGGGATCGAACCCACGACCTCCTGTATACCAGACGAGGTAGTTAACATTTCCTAGCCACCATGATGATGATGAGACGCAGACTGCAAATAGACAGCAGTAGGCAGTGTCAGGGTCTGGATCGAACCCACGACCTCCCGTATACCAGACGAGGTAGTTAACATCTCCTATCCACCGCGGCACCCACTTAAGGATCACGAGCGGGTTAGGGAAGGAGTGGAGGGGCGATGGGAGGGAAGAGAATGAAGGGGATTGGTAGCTGGGAATGGGAAGACAGCGATTACGGGAGAGGGAGGGAATGGGAGAGGGGGCCGTGGAGATAAAATGAGAGAACGTCGGCAGGAGTAATACGGAGAAAGCTGTGGATGAAGGAGGGAGCTGCGTGTGATGGAGAAAAGGTTGGGACCCTTACCTGTCTCCGGGTGTTGGGGAGGAGAGAGGTTGTGGAGAGAGAGAGAGCTGTGGAGAGAGAGCTGTGGATGAAGGAGGGAGCTGGGTGTGATGGAAAAAGGGCTGAGACCCTTACCTGCTCTGGCTGTTGGTTAAGAGAATGCTCACTCCACCTTCATACAAAGACCTCAATAACGGTGCCTATGCATTGCATCTGTTCCGCAATCTTCCGTGTTCCCCTCTCTGGTCTCTTAGTGTAATTCCAAACATCCATTGTTTGGAATTACATTAAGATATATTTTGTTCTTCGTCTGTCCACGCTTCTCAATCACATTTCCATAGCACTCATGGAAACAATGCACCTACATTGTAATTTAAATGTATGCAATTAACATTAGCCAACCAAAAAATATGCTTTTGCCATTGAAAATTGGTGGCAAGGGCCAAACAGAAACCAGTTTAAATACCTCGAGTTCGTCTTGAGAAGGGACGGGGGAGTGGAAACACGTGTAAGGAATCTGATTAAAAGTGGCTGGCGTGAGTCGAGAGAAGGGACTGGAATTGTGTGACAAGCGAATGCCTTGGGTATCGAAAAGCAAGAATCCACAAGTGTAGCTGACCAGTCACGATGTATGGGATCTGATTTGTTTTTCCTTGGAATGTAGGATGTCTGATACTTCGGGTGATGTCATCTTCTTTGGTTTCCATCCCTCATGCCTGGACCGATTTGCAATGGTGCTGTGATGTGGCCTCTTGTTTGCGTGCGCGATCTATAGGACGGCGTGTCTTATTGTGAGGTAAGGCATGTAGGGGATTGGTGTTTGAGCTGTTACATTGGTTAAAGTATATTCTGGGTGGTACGAGGTGTTGCTCTGGATGGTCCATTGGCTGGACACTAAAACAATTATATGCATATTTTTTTAATGGACAGAAATTGATATTTTTAAAAATGTTTTATTTAATACATCGATTTTTCATATACCAGTTGTGGTCTTGGGGTTAAGCCACGTGTCGAGATCTTCTCTCAAGCTTTTCCTATGCACAGCTCTCGGGCATCTTAACTAATTGAAGTGAGATATCTCACTGGGTCTCCGCCAGATTACATGCTGTCGTGTTTTCTGACTGGTTATTTTCCTTGGGCATGTCCAAGAATTCACTTCAACTCCGGAATATCCCCGCAGTCGAACTTGGCAAAGGTTTGAGAGAGGATACGCTCAACACCTGGGCTAAACTGGAAGACCAGACTTGGATTTGTTTCCCATTCATTTGCCACATCTTATAAATACATGGGTAAAATATAAAATAACTAAAAGCTAAAACCATTCACAATTTAATCCGAATGGAAAAAAAAATATCTTACAGATTTCTGCTCAGCAGTGTGTTCAAGAATGCCTAATTCACCTACGACTCTTCCACAAGTGTATTGATAGCGATGCAGGCTTAAAAAAATGCACATTGGAACCCAACATCCCAGCAAAGATCATCCTACCTCGAACTTCCCGTTCATTTAGTTATCTTCTCCCACCTCTCCAAACGTCTCTCCCTCAATACCATTTAAAATAACTCCGGAAGTATTTAATGTGGAATCACACACGATAAGCTCAACCCTCTAATCCAATCGATACCAATTCCATTACAGAGACTGACCTGCATCGTCAATGACCAATATCTCTATCAGGCCATGGATTCTTCGTGTTTTTCCCCCCCTCACGAATGCTTTAGACACCATCAACTAGCCTCTCCTATGTTCCCTGAGAAAACTGTAACCAGTTGTTGCTCCGCTAGTCCATATGAACATAGCCCAGCTCACCAATTTTCAGGATGATCATATCTATGACAGTGTGCAATATCTCTGCTTTATTGACCTAGTCAAGACCCATGATACCATCAGCCATTGGCCAGTGCTCCTACATTCTTGAACATATTTTTTGACCAATTGGTTTGAGCTCTCCATGGCCGTACCAGAGGAATTTTGCATCTGGTACGGATTCAATGGCAGGCTGATCGATGCCTGGGTGCGGTCAAGGGATGGCTCTGATTGGTCAACCATGTTATGTAATACTTATGACCTGGTAATTGGTGCTCGTTCTTGATAAGTTGGAGACTACTGCTGAACCTGCAGCATTACAGCTTATTCTCCATTACATATGCCACAAGATTTCAATCATGATAGACTACCACAAGAGCAAAACACATTCATACGTGAATGAAATTGTGATCCCAATTTCATTCAAACATTTAGAGAAGGTGCATTGCTGCATATCGAATACATTTAGTTGAGAGTACACGGTGAGACAATAGCAACTGGATGTCCCTGGTTTGGCGTTATATATAAAGTAACGTTCACCATAACTTTGAATCGAGACAAAACCGTGATTCGGGGCTCTCACTCCGGAATGTGCGTCAGAGAATGTTTCCTTAACGAGGAGATTCGTGAAAACCCCCTCCCGCACTCCTGGCATGCGTGCGGCTTCTCGCCAGCGTGCGTTGCGGAGTGCAAGACTAACTGGGAGCGTTGTGCGAAGCCCTTGCCACACTCGCTGCACACATGCGGCCACTCGGCAGTGTGCGTGATACAATGCACCTTTAAGTGCTCTCGCCGTGTAAATCCCTTCCCGCACTCGTCACACACGTACGGCTTCTCGCCGGTGTGCGTCCTCGTGTGCTTCTCCAAGTTGGACCGATGCGCAAACCCCTGGCCGCACTCCTTGCACACGTGCGGCTTTTCGCCAGTGTGCGTCGCAGAGTGCAGGTTTAACTGAGAACGTTGCGCGAAGGCCTTCCCGCACTCATGGCACACATACGGCTTCTCGCCAGTGTGCGTCCTCGTGTGTTTCTCCAGGTTGGAACGGTGCGCGAACCCCTTCCCGCACTCCTTGCACACGTGCGGCTTTTCGCCGGTGTGCGTCGCCGAGTGGAGGTTTAATTGAGAACGTTGCGCGAAGGCCTTCCCACACTCGCTGCACGCGTACGGCTTCTCGCCAGTGTGCGTCCTCGTGTGCTTCTCCAAGTTGGAACGATGCGCAAATCCCTTCCCGCACTCCTTGCATATATGCTTCCTCCCATCGGTAGTCACTGTCGTGCAAAGTGCGGCGCCTTCAAGTGTCTTCCCGCACCGCGTGCAGGCTTGAGGGGTCTTGCTGCTGGCGCGTTTTGCTTTGAAGCGTCTGCCTTCCCCACACTCCTCGCACAGGGGTTCCCACTTGTTCGCTTCATCTGCTGCACAGTTTAAAAACGCAAATGCATAGTCACATTAATTGACACGAGAAGAACAGACAGATATAGCAGAAATAGTAAAATACTGGATCAAGTACTGGCCGGTAACGTCAACCAGAATACTGATAGTATATACTTACGTATGTTTAACTTCTTCCGCACCCATACGTGGCCAACCGTGCTAATCTATGTGCGGGGTAAGGACAAGAAACTAAACACAAAAAAGCAGTTCTAAAGAAATGAGTTTTCCATCTAGATGATGATTTAAAAGTGCATTGCTCCAGTGACTTCCTAATATCGGAAGGAAGAGCGTTCCAAACGGCCACAGAAGCACATCTGAATGCACGCGATGCAGTGGCCGTCTTTGTCTTGTTGACTATGGAGCGTGCGTTGACTGATCCAAAGCTGAGGAGCCCTGGTCCATGGTTTTGGCTCGATACCCAACATCAGCAGCAGTGCAGCAGTGAGGGCGTTCTTCCGCGATCGTGTGGATGCTAGGGTGGAAGAAGAATTGACCCAGATCTGGAGCACAACCACGTGCGAGGAATTGCAACAAGTGATGCACATGGTCAGGGTAGGGGTCAGCATTTCCACAGCAGATCGTAGCACAATGGGGTGCGAAATTCGAGTAGTTTGAACTGATGAGTCGTCGACCAGCACCCCCCTTCTTCAGCACATTGCTGGGCCGAGTCTGCTGGTGAGTCCCACAGCAGTATCAGTGAAGTTTGGGGGAGATAGAATTGGGTTTGTCGATCCAAGCCAAGAGAAGTATCTGTTATAACCCCCCCCCCCGTCCCCCATTCTCCAGAGAAGAGGAATTGCTTGACCAGACCGCTCGGCTTGCTCATCCGGAGTACCGGGAGAACCGGGCTCAGCCGCAAACAGCCAGGCAACAGCAGCAGAAGTCGCAGCATCGCCATCGCAAGATGTTGTTGCTATTGTTGTTGTTGCAGTTGCTATTGTTGCTCCTGTTGTAGTTGCTGCTGTTGCTATTGTTGTTGTTGCTGCTGTTGTTGCTATTGTTGTTGTTGTTGTTGCTGCTGTTGTGTACACCTTTGATCAACGCCGGGTAAGGCTCACTGAGGTTGGTGGTACTTCTCTGGGCGGTGTATTAAGACACAGGGAGTTTAGGACACACACCGGTGTATTCAGATACTCACCACCACCGGTGTTGTGTGGAGCTGTGTCTGGGGCATAACTGGGCATGGCGATAACCCCGGCCCACTGGATAAAGCCACCCCATGATCCCATTATCTGACATGATGTGGTACGTCATACCGATTTGGAAAAACAATGGAATGTCAAACAGGTCAATGCCCGATTCACAAATGTGAAGGAAGCATCATCACAGTGTTCTGCTACCCCCTTGATGCAATTATCTGGCTCGTTAACCACCTCAATGTAAATAGCCGTTGTTCTACGTTAGTATCAGCCGTACGAAGGGTGAATTTCATGAGGTCGTTTATTCACCTCTATCCATAGATTCCAGTCGAAGAACATCTGGAATATGACTGCAAGGAAACCATGACATCATCTCTGTGATGCGATCAAAGGCAACTCACCTTCCTCTCCAATGTCCTCCTCCGACAACTCCACCTCAATGAAGTTCTGGTCTGGAGTGTAAAAATATCCACGGGAATCCCTCATCGTCTCTGGCGGCCCACCGACTCCTTCATCTTTAATGATCTTCAGATCGAGAGCTGTAATCAAGGAAAAAAAACGCGCATCGTGGTCTGTGATAGAACAGGAGATCGAATGCATAAAACACAAGGCACTCAAAACTGGTCAGCCAGAGATGTTTCTTCTTAAAACTCTTATTATCATTTAAGTTTTATAATACGCTGCACGGAGTTCGCTCCTCGCTGTCCAAGGGAGAGAATGACTTTCGAGGCGTGAGGAACAACCACGGTAAAGTGGGCAGCCACCCACGTGGCTGACAAACGCTCCCCCACTATCAATCGATCCTTCATAGTCATATTTTTTTAACCGTACTGATACTCCGATTAGCACGGTTGAATACGTACGGTGCGAAAAAAATGAAACATATATACGTAAAGACAACATTAACCGTCTGTATGTAGAACTTATTTCGCACCGTACGTAATCAACGGTGTTAATCTTAAAGGCTTCGGGGGCTACGTGGGTGTCTTTGGCACAATCTTCTCATTGCTTCGCTCCTCCTACCGATGAGACAGGACTCTTACCGTTCTCCTCCACTTCAGTTTTCACCACAATCCTCCATTTCTTATCGCCCAGCCTCCAGTCATCTTCTTGCTTCACGACTGCCCCTGCACATGCATGGTGCAATTGACACTCCACACAGTTAAAATGCAATGCAAGTTTCTCAAGATGCTGCACAGAAGAATGGGCACAATTGTAAGATTTTAATCACACCACGTGTTCGGCTACGTAAAGTTGCACAGTTGCAAAATGATTTTTGTTTAAAAGATTAAACATACAATACCTACAAGTTGGAACCTGTTTCAATTCAAATCTGCTCCATTGCAATCAGCGCATCTCCATTCTGCCATCTCTGTCCTCATTTAAACTAACTCTGTTTTTAAAATCACGAAAGTTAAAAAAGTATGAATGTAATTTTACAACGTAATTGCTATTTATTTTTGTAATCTATAATTGTGGAATGCTTCGATGCTTTCTGCCAGTTAAGTCGCCCTTTTAAAAAAGAGCTTCTTAGCTCTACGGGCTTTACTCGGTGGAAAATCAACTTCTGACTTCTCATTGATAAGTCATTGGACAGGAGGTTAAGTCACCTACGATCATTGCAGATGTCACGCGATAAACGGGGTACTTACCTGCACTAGCAAACATTCACCAGTAGGGTGTGATGTGTGGGCCACCAAGGTTCCCCAGACCCCAAGAGGAGGGCTGGGGGAAGATTCCAGGTCTCTCTGGAACTCTCTGGAAGGGAGGTGTGGCCAGGGGCATGGGGACCCTGGCAGGTGTATAAAAGCCGGACCCCTGACCCAGGTTTGGCAGTGTTCCTCAAACCGAAGACTGAAGACCGGGCTTAGAGCAGGACCCGGAGACCCCCAGACCCGCTGTCCTTCTAAGGGCCAGGACTGAGGTGGGACAGTGGTCGGATCCTGGGTACCCCCAGACCCGACATCCTTGTAAGGGCCGAGACTGAGTGGGCCAGTGGCCGAGACCCGAGGACCTTGGCTGGGTCGGGTCAGGATAGCCTCCCCTAGGGCCCCTAGCTGGAGGGCTGAGTGCAGAGTAGTCCCCAGTGTGAGTGTGAGGAGGTATGATAGCCCGGAGGCCATACCTCCCCAGGTAGCGGGTGTAAGGGGCCGTTACCCCTTTGTGTTAGAGACCCTGTACACTAGTGTTGTTAAATAAAAGTGTCGCTTCAACTACCTGCTCCCCCTCGTCCTTGGGTTCACTAAACAGTGACAGAGCCAAAGGGTGAGCAGGTGGATTGGGGTGGGTTCGCGAAGGGACTAACACCATCACTTGAAGATACCGAGCTAATCGCCACTGCTCAATTCCTGCAACTAAACCGGCCTCTCAGGTAAAAACTGAGTTGAATTTAGACTTACAACTTTCGTGACTGCAGGAATTCATATTTTTGGTTCTTTTGGTAAAGTCACGTATATAGAAGAACCAAGAATCCTGAGTTGAATGTCCCGAGACCAAATCAACAATGTACGTTGTCTTTTGCGATCAACTAAAACGTCGCTGCTTGCACGCGGGGCTTGGGGATCAGAGTTCTGGTGACAATGCGGAATGTTTCAGACGAAGCAAGCTGGGGATTTAAGCATGCTTTGCTGCGGTGTCAATCAGTGCTGCAATTAAGTTATCTGAGTAACGTGACGGCAGCTGATGATTTCATGCCGACTCACCGACGTCTTCATGCTTCACCGTTGTGCCGGGACACATCGCCGGGCTTGGCTCCTCTTCACTCTCTTGTTTGATGAAGGGCAATTCAAAGTTCGAAGCCATCTGAAGGAGCAAAAGGAAATGCAGCATGGCTGTGCCGCTTCATCCACGATTTACTGCCGTTCACGGCTGGAATCCAGGATATGGATAATTCTGTTGTCATGTCGTCCAAGCGCAGCGAGGACGAATGCGCAGAAGAAACAAAACTTTGAAACTTTGATTAGCGCATCGTGTAGAGCTCGTCAAGAGGAATAGATTGTCGTATCGTTCGCCATCAACAGACATAAAATGACGTCACAACGCAGTTTATGTGAGAACCGGGGTCCCACCATAAGATTCAAATACTCTAAACGCATGTTTATACATCTGGAGGGGAAAACCGGAAGACCCGGAGAAAAATCCAAGCGACCACGAGGAGAGAGACGCAGACTCCAAATATACAGCGGCAGGTGTAAGGGTTGGGCTCGAACCCACAACTTCCTCCATACCAGGCGAGGTAGTGAACATCTCCTAGCCACCGTGATGATGCTGAGGAAGAGAGACACAGGCTCCAAATATACTGCAGCAGGGAGTGTCAGGTTGAGATTGAACCCACGACCTCCTCCATACCAGGCGAGGTAGTTAACATCTGCTAGCCACCGTGATGATGATGAAAAAGAGAGACGCAGGCTCCAAATACACAGCAGCAGGGAGTGTCATGGTTGGAATTGAACCCATGACCTCCTGCACACCAGGCGAGGTCATCAACATCTCCTAGCCACCGTGATGATGATGAGAAAGAGAGACGCAGGCTTCAAATACACAGCAGCAGGGAGTGTCATGGTTGGGATTGAACCCATGACCTCCTGCACACCAGGCGAGGTCGTCAACATCTAGCCACCGTGATAAGAGAGACACAGGCTCCAAATATACAGCAGCAGGGAGTGTCAGGGTTGGGATTGAACCCACGACCTCCTGCACACCAGGCGAGGTCGTCAACATCTGCTAGCCACCGTGATGATGCTGAGAAAGAGAGACACAGGCTCCAAATATACAGCAGCAGGGAGTGTCAGGGTTGGGATTGAACCCATGACCTCCTCCATACCAGGCTAGGTAGTTAAAATGTACTAGCCACCGTGATGATGATAAGAGAGACACAGGCTCCAAATACACAGCAGCAGGGAGTGTCAGGGTTGGGATTGAACCCATGACCTCCTCCATACCAGGCGAGGTAGTTAACATCTCCTAGCCACCGTGATGATGATGAAAAAGAGATACGCAGGCTTCAAATACACAGCAGCAGGGAGTGTCAGGGTTGGGATGGAACCCACGACCTCCTGCATACCAGGCTAGGTAGTTAAAATTTCCTAGCCACCGAGGCGCACGAACGAGGAGTCCGAGACGAGATCGAGGGGGCTGCGTGACCGCTCCTAAATGTAGCTGCCGCACCAGCAGCTGCTGCTCACGAAGGCAGCTGGCAAGCGCCGCCCTGACATTCGATTTCTCCCGCTCTCTCTATCTCTCTATCTCTTTACCGCGTCTCTCTTGTTTCCTCGTTTCTCTCTCTTCTCTTCCTCTCCGTGTCTCCTCCTTGCGTCTCGGCGTCTCTGTCTCGCTGCCGTATCTCCCCTCTCTGTGTCAACAGCGTCTGTGCGCGGTCCGTCTGTGGCCACCTCCCCCCTCGCGTCCCCCTCTTCTGCCGTTGACCACCCAGCAAGCGACAAGATAGAGCGACAAGACGGTACTCACCACCACCACCCCCGTCGTTACTCACCCTCCCCTTCCATTACCCCTCCTCCCATTCTCACCCAGCAAGCGACAAGATGCAGCAACAAGACGCCTCCATTTGCGTGTCCCGAGGCGACGTCACGGTTATTCTCATCCAGTGGCGGCTCCTGCAATATCTCTCAGGGGGGGCAAATGTCTGGATGATTGATAAGGATAAGGTCCACCGATGCAATGTATAAATTAACAGCTTAAGCATGTAAAGGCAACTTCACTTCTTTAATATTAATGAAAAATAAAGTGACTCTTACAATACATCTTGTTTGTTTCTATACTCACTATTAAAACAAACCACTCAAGTTTCTTTTATTAAAGATTCCACTAGGTGGCGACAAATTATATTGTTGGATGAAACGTGCTTACGTATGATGACGTAAGCACGTATGATGACGTAAGCACGTTAGGGCGAGCCCTCCCGGAAGCCATAGAGAATGCATTGCAGCGCCCCCGTTCGAAAAAAAACATCTTTGAATGTAAGTCTATGGGGCCACTCGGGGCGATTCTCAGCCAGAGTGAAATCGCCCAAAAAGAGGCGGTACTCCACAGAACGTAGCATGACGCTGATTGGACTATATCCAGAGGCACAGTGACGGCTAGCGTGACTCTGTGGTTGAATGACATTGGTGGTGCGTCGCCCAATCGCCCTAATGAAGAAACCGCCCCTGTTCTCATCCACTGAAGTTCTCTCTGCTCTCACACCTCGTTTTATTCAAGACGTAACTTTTTTTAAAGGATTTAAAAACATGCATGTTGAATAAATTATTTTGAAATACCCCGTGAGCCAAGAAGCTCATAAATTGGGTTACATCAACAAACAACAATGCCGCTTCTCCAACAAACACAATAAGTCAGAAGTAAAATAAATCAATAATAAACCATAACAGATAAGATAAATAGTTCACAATGCCCACATCACGACTCCATCAAATGTAAACATTTAAAACTCTCCGGCAGACCATAACAACCTCTAAATGGTAGTCGGTTTTTACCCTTTAAACTGGTACAAAAAATGACACCTTTATACAAAGCATCATGTTTGCAATAACCACAACACAAGCAGTCAAAATGCAAACAAAAAGAAAACCCTCTGATAATGATATGTACTGTCCTTGAAGTTGATTGGTCCACACCCGAGACAGCTTTTCTTCGAGCCTAGTTTCCATTGGTGTTGGACCAGATGACGCCAAAAGGCCACTGGTAAAGGAGGTCTCAGTGTAAATAAGTATAACCCGTAAAAACAAAGTTTTTCACTCTAAATCCTTTATATGCGTGGCGGCTAGAGTCCTCTCATCCTTGAGATGGCTGCCACCTATGGGTCAGATGATTGTCTGCAGTATTAAACAATTGGTAATTAAATATTTAATTTGTTTTTCCTAAACAGTGTAAAATTTTGAAAAAAAATTTTCAGGAACATTAATTGTCTCGCACAACGAGTCTGTGTGCAAAATGTCAGCTCGATTGGATCACGGGAAGTGGGTTAAAAAACGACCGAAAAGTTTGCACGGTCGTAAGCAAGCAAGCACGCAAGCACGCAAGCGAACTTAATATAAAGGATTTAATAAACCTCTAAATATCCACCTGATAAGCCACTTCGTTGAGCTATAATTTGTGATAGCGAGGTCACTTCTGAAAAACAGCTACATAGCTCAGTGGGCCTTTACCTGATAAAATATAAAATAGTTAATTAAATCTTTTAATAGGTTATTATTAAAATATAAAAAAATGTCAAAAGTAAGTTTTTCAATGCAAACACTTGTATTTGCACTCAAAAGTAGAAAATGCATTCTTTTCACCCCAAAAATGAATCAAATTTGATGTGCTCAATAAAAGTGGGTGGCTTGCATAAGTGTAAAAAGAATATCGAAAGGAAACCACCCACTATTCAGCACGTCAAATATGATTAATTCTGGCGTCAAAAGAGTGTATTTACTCCTTTTGGGTGCAAATTAAGTGTGCATTGAAAAACGTATTTTTTACCAAAAAATGTTTTACATCGGGAAAACTCTTTTAAAGGCATTCCTGCTGAGGGAGCTGGTAGGAACGTTGGGTTGCTCGGTCAATGGCCAGGGTCAACGGCGGCGTGGTGTATTCCGCAAATATGGCCGACTGTGAGGGCGGGTACAAGCCGGCGTGAGTAGGTTAAACGTTGAGTTTTATAAGGGCACCACGGGGTGACCAGCCCCTCCCCACCCAGCCGCTCCCCACCCTCCCCTCCCCACCCAGCCCCTCCCCACCCTCCCCACCCAACCCCTCCCCACCCTCCCCTCTCCACTCAGCCCCACTCCTCCCATTTTTGGATGCACGACGGACGGACGGACACAATAATCCCCTGTGGGCTGGTGGAACCATGTGGTTCCTACCAGTACTATTTAACTGCTATTTTATTTTACCAGGTAAGGCCCACTGGGGCTATTTATCTGTTTTTCTGAAGCGACCTGGCCACAAATGAGATGCCAATGAAGTGGCTTATCACGTGAAAATGTAAATCAGCCATATATTTTAAGCACACGTTTCTAAATGTGGAGGGGAGAAAACTAACCAGAGGACTCAGAGATAAATCCACGCGATCACGGTGAGAACACGCGTGAAAGTTGCCGTCTTTCCACTCCTGTGACGTAAGAAACCCACGAGGAGCGTATGGCGTCATCGGTTCCCCGGACATCCTCGAAGCAGCGGCGGCTTTTGGCTGGCCATCGCACAAAGACGGTCATCGCATCACTCGCGCCCGTTTGAAACGCGCTTATGTTCCGATATTAGGAAGCCAGTGGAGTAATGCACTTTTACGTCATTTCGATTTAAAACTAATTTGGCTAGAACTGCTTTTTGTGTTTAGTTTGTTGTCCTTCCCCCGCAACTCTGATGAGCACGGTTGGCTACGTACTGTGCGAAAGAATGTCAATATACATACAAGGCTCTGTTCTTGGGGTGATCTAATAAGACAATCAGAATCGTTATCTGGCCTTTATCCCTCAGTTATGGCCGTTTCCCCTGCAGGTTCCGTTTATTTCCGACTTCCCATACACGGCACGTATTGGTGAGATCTAAGAATGAAATGCGCCACTTGACAAATTTCAATTAATATTTATTATTATGTAGAGCTATATATGTCGGACGCAAGGCATTAAACTCAAAGTGAACTGAAGGCAAGTGCTGCACATAAAGCCTGGGTAAGATTTTCGTATGTTCTTAGTTCTTGTTAAAGACTGGCAGCATGCAGAGTTTTGTACTAGCTGTTACATTGGGGAAACGAAGCGACATGTCTCGGACCGTGTTCGTGAGCATAAGGCAGATTTAAAACACGGTAGGACCAATACTTCTGCCGTGGCTGATCATTATTTCAATGCGGCTGGCTCACACGAAATTGATTTATCTAAGACGATGGTACTTTGCAAGCCCACTGGCTATCAACAAAGATTTGTTCATGAAGCCATCTATATATACAGACACAGACAATTTCAACTGAGAGGATAGTTATAAACTCAGCAATCATTGGAAAGATATCATCAACCACTTTGGGTCATGACTTGATTTGCGTTTTCTTGTCAAGGGAGCACAGGTCATGTCATGACTTAATCTGTGTCGTTTTCTTGTTATCTTACCCCAGGGCACATATGCCCCGCCCACTTCGTTCTGACACCGAGACGTTTTGTGGCACTGCATATTCCGTGTTTCACATTGGTGCTCCCTGACCCCAGGGCATATATGCCCAGCCCACTTCGTTGCGCTTGTGCCACGCCGATTTTTGAAAACTTTATTAATGGTTGCCTTTGGTAACCTTCCCCCTCTTTCCTCCTGTAGACGATCGCTTGTGTTGTGATCGAAACGTCGTGGTTTTATTTTTAATTTTATTTTTATTACCGAAAGAACCAAGAATAAGTCTACATTATAGACTGCCGGTACACTCACCAAACTTAAGAACCAGGCTACAGTCTACATTAGTGGTTTTTTGTTTATGTATTATTTATTATTTTATTTTTATTCACTTTATTTTTCTATCTGTGACTTTATCGACATAACCAAAGAATATGAATTCCTGCAGTCACTAAAGTTTAAAGTAAAAATTTACAGGAGGAGTTAAGATGTTAAAACACCAAATATACACCGACTATTGCAAGGCATCATCATGTTTGCATTCACCACACATCATGCGTGTGGTATAATGTTGTGTATTGTACTTGAAATTGATTGGCCTACACCAGAGACAGCCTTCTTCATAACTCTGTCTCACCTGGTTTCAGACCATAGAACAATGGCAAACGGCGGACAGCACAAGGGCAATGCAAATATCAAAGCATTCATTGCTCGGATTGAGCAAAAAAACTATTCCAATACGGCAGCATTGCAAACAGAGTCAATGTAAGAGGTTAATAACGTTGGTTTTTTTTCTTCTTCAGCATATCATTGCTGGGCGAGACATCACGGCTGTGAAATCCCCTGGGAAATTGTACAGCTTGCGATGCTCAAGAGTCTTTCTTAAAATATCATTGTTTGGTGTTGGTGTTGCGAAGAGACGGACACACAGGTGAACTGTGCGTGACTACATTGCAGTCCCTTGCCCATTGAAGCAAACTGGTGAGATACAAAAACTTTTTTTTTATCATATCCACTGTGGGCATTCGTTACCGGGTATATGCAACGAGTAGTGTACCATGTTTGAGACTTCGCTAAACGTTAACGGGCAGAGAAGGTGCAGGAAGTCGGAACAAAACAATTGAGCGAGTCAGCTCCCAGCCGCTAACGAAGGACGTTGTGACCCAGCGTGGAAGAGTCGGATAATAACAAATTACTCCATACTCGAGGTGGCTCTCTCTCGAGAGCTCCGTCTAGTGGAGGAACTTCTGCCAGCAGTGTCGTGAGCAAGCGATTGCAGGCGGGGAGCAATAGATCAGC